TGCTATAATATTTTAAAAGTAGATTTAAACTTTATATAAAAATCTTAGTTAAATATTCAATAAAGATAAAGGCATGGCCTTACTATTAACATTAAAAAAAAAATAAATAAAGGATATTTGCTTAGACTAAAGAAAAATGATTTCAATTGTAAAATATAAACTACTTATCTGACTCCTAATAAAAATAAAAATATTATTATATAAAAACTAATTATCATAATTAAATTCTAGTATTAATGCTAACTGCCTATTATGAACAACCAAATCTATAATTGATTGCTCATAATAGTCACATGTTTAGTAAATTGTAACAACAAAGAAGAGTTTTAATTCTAATTTAATGTAGTAACATCCTAATTGAGACAATAAAAAAGATAATTAAATTAAGAATAGGTTAAAGAAAAGACTTAAAAGAAAAGACTTAAAAGAAAAGACTAGTATTTACCTACAGATAATAAACTACTTGTCAAATCTAACATGTCTGTTTTAACTTAGCTGCTATAGGTTATTCATAAGTTAGATTAGTTTAGTAATAGATATGCTAATTTCTAAGATAATAATTTAGTGCTAATTGTAAGATATAAAAATTAAAAGATCTTTAATATAGAGAATATGAAAAAGAATATATTAGATAAAATAAATAAAAGAAAAAAGAAATATAAAATTAGTATTTAAAAATAAAGAATAAAAAAAATAAAGCAAAAAATTTTAGTATACTTCTCTAAAAAGATAAAATAATATATGCTATTTATCTACAATTAATTTCTAACTAACCAAAAAAAAAGTAAAGCCTAAACAACAAAGATACAATTGTTACAAACTTTATAAATTCTTTAATCAACTAGATGAAGCCTTTAATGAGATGTATAGTGCTCTTATTGTAAAATAAGAGGCCACATTATTAGTAAGTAACTATATATAACCCACTTGCAAAAAACATATACTAGCTTTTTTGTCACACTTACTAAAAACAAGATGACAAAGTTCAAGAAATTATTACTGAATTCTTTAGAAATTATTACTTGTATTAAAAGTTTCTTTAAGGTCTTGACAATTAGCATTTGCCATACTTAACACCTATTATGATCTTGATAAATTTACAAAAAAACTTTGTAGAAGTGTTGCTTTTGGCTTTAAGAAAGAAAAAGCTAACTTAGATTTTTTTTTAGTAATTGATTACCAAATATGAAGCTTTTATACAAAAGTGGACCCCAAAAGACATTCTAGAATCACTGATAATAAAAAAAAAGAAAAGTAAAGCATTTGATTATCACTAGGAGTCAGTTAAGATAAATAATGTAAATAATGTAATTAAGTAAAAGAAAAAAGATACTATGTCTGCAAAACTTAAAAAAGCTAAAAATAGTAAACCTAACAATAATAATAATGATTATAATAATAGAAATAATAATAGAATTAGAGTCAAAAGAATCATCATAAAGCCTTCACAAACTATCAACAATTTACAAAAATAGAAAATAATAATGAAACATATTACATTAAATCTTATTATAAAAAAGAAATTGAAGTTAAAAAAGATAGCTGTTAAGCATTGGATGATAATAATAATGATGATGATGGAATATATTATGTTAATCTTATTATAAAAATTAAATTAAAGTTGAAAAAGTTAGCTGTTAAACATTGAAATGATAATGATAAAAAAATAACCATTTCTAATAAAAAAAGTCAAAGTTTTGAGTTGTTGGATTTTAAAAAGCTTAAAGACACTTGTGATAATTTGAATAAAAAAGTAGAAAAATTTAAATTATTAGTAAAAGAAACAGAAAATTTGGAAAAGCTTGATGAAACTTACTTAAAATTATGTATTTAATAACAAAATAATGCAAAAAGAAAAACTGTTATAAAGGTTTAAAATTGATTCTAATTCCTGTATTAAATAATAAATTTAAAACAAAAAAATAAATAATAGCATTAGAGATGAAACAAAAAATCATTAACTAAATAACAAAAAATAGTCTAGTACTTTTTTTTGCTTTAATTAGTCTCAAAGGCCTTTAATTCTAAGAAAAAGAGTTTCTAATTTTACAATCATGAAAAGTAAAATTTATGTATAATATACATAAACTAAGTAGAGAAGAAATGTGAAATTTGAAAATGTAACTAATATTACATATCATAAATTCTAAATGTTAAAAATATTAGCTATATGAAATATATCTAATATATCTAACATATTTGATATATTGCCTATATTGCATAAGTATAATATTTTTTTTTTTTTAAGCTTAAGCAATAAGTATAATATATTAGATACATGTGATATATATAATAAATTAGATATGTTTGATATACTAGACAAGTTCATAATATAAATAGATAAAACAGTTTATTATAAATAAAGAGCAATTCATTTAGACTAAAAAGAAGTGATTTCAATTGTGAAATATAAACTAACTATCTGACTCCTAATAAAAGTAAAAGTGTTATTCTATAAAAATTAGTAACTATTATTAAATTCTAGTACTAATGCTAACCACCTTTCAAAAACAACCAAACCTGTAATTAAATACTCATTATAGTTATATGCTTAGTAAATCATAATGACAAAGAAGAATTCTAACTCTAATTTGATATAGTAAAATCTTAGTTAAGACAATAAAGAAGATAAAATTAGATTAAGAGTAGTTGAAAGAAAAACTCAAAAGAAGAGATCAGTACTTATTTATAAATGATAAACTATCTGCCAAATCTAATATACCTGTTTTGACTTAGCCACTATATATTACATATGAGTTAAATTAGTTTAATAATAGACTTACTAATTTCTAAGATAACAATATATATTGTCAAATAGGTATAGTATTAAAAGATTGTTTAAGTTAGATTGTAGATATTATAAGTTGTTTTTGAATTAAAAATTTTATATTTTTTTAAGTTGGTGCAAGTGTATATATAATGTATTGCTATTTTATTAATATAGTTTATTTGGTCTTAAATAGATCAAATAGTTGGTAGTTTAGATTTTTGAAGAATTTATTTTTTGTATTCATTATTAGTTGCTATTGTTATTTAGTATTTGATATAGTTGCAAACTTTTTGTTTATTAATATTACTAAATTGTTTTTTATAATATGTAAAAAAAGATTCAAAACCAGGTATCAAATTATGATTTGATTAAGCAAAAAAGTGAAATATAGTAATTTGTAATGAATTCTTAAAGAATAATATTTATAGTAATGTTAATATAAAATTTGAAAGTATTGTAAATTTGTAAAGTAGAAGTATTGTTTTTTAAAGTATTTAAAATATAAATATAAAGGTTTTTAAATAAATAGATTTAAGAGTAGAGTAAATATAAATCATTTTTTATATGACTTAGATGATATAATGAATTTTTATATAGTAAATTAAAATGTGTTACTAATAAAACATTTTTATTTTTAATTAATTTTTATTAAAATTTAATAATATATAGATTTAAATAAGTTATTTATTATGTTAAAAATTTTATAAAATGTTTAATTTAAAAAAATATATTTGTATATATCTTGAATTTTTCTAGAACACTCTATATTTTTCCTAGATTACACAAAAAGTCAACTTTAATTGGTTAATTTTCAAAGAACTATAAAAGAATTTTAATAGTAAATTTTTATATCAAATTTTTAAAAATTTATATATTAATAAGTTTTAAATGAATTTTAATAATTTTATTACTGTTAGAATCATAAAAACCTATTCTACAACTTTACTTAAGAGCTTAAAAAATATTTAATTAGTAAAAACTTTAGTAATTAAAATTATAAAAAAAATATACCATCAAGTTTATATATAATTTTAAAATAGTACACCTTACCTTTAAGTTATTTGAGTTATAAGTTATGAAAAAAATTTTGATGCTTATTAGTTTGGTATTTGTTATATAAAAATAAATAAAGATTAACAAGATTTATAGTAATTTAAAATTACTTTTTAATTAATTAAGAAGAAATAAAATAATGCAAGTTAAAAAATTAGTTATAATTTGTTTTATAAAAAAAAGTATAGATAAATTTGATAAGCCAGTGTTTTATTATATTTAGAAGTATTTTAAAAGATAGTTTGGTTGCTTTAACCTACTTATTAATTGACAAAACCAAGTCATTACAAATTTTGGTCTTTATTATATTCAGTACTTAATTGAATTGATCAAAATAAAACTATTATTTTACTTTTATATAAAATTTATTATAACCTATTATTATTCATATTTACAACAACTTCAAAGATTATAGCATACAAGTTTTCTGGCCTACTAACTTTAAATATAAAATATATAACAAAATTAACTCACATTATTCAATTTTTGCTTATATAAATAATACTCTATAGGTTGCATTCTCATAACAAGAGTTATTACAAATTCTTTTAATAGCCAAATCTTTTTTTAATATATTTAATATTTAAATTAATTCTTTTAAGTCCTTATTAACAACTAATAATACCTTAATCAACTATACTTCTATTATATTTAATAATTATTCTTTAAATTTCTATTCATCAAATAAACTATTCAAATTTTTTAAATATTAATTTATACTTAATAATAAATAAATTAAACAAACTAAATTTAATATTGCAGATTTATTACATCTTATCAAATTTGTAAACACCAAATAAATTACTAATACATATATACAATACATTATGAATACTGTTATTGTTTTTATAATTAAGTATTATTTTTATAATATTGTTCTTAGATAAAACATATACAACAAAATTCTTATAAGCTATATTAAATTTATTAAAAATTAAGTTAAACTTAATTACACAATTTTTACTAACATATTACTTTATTCTCAACTTTATAATATCTGTAATATATAGAACATTCAGTTACAACATCATATTACAAACTTTACCAAAAGACTCAACTTATCTGTTTTTTTGAGAACAAGTAATTACATTAGACTTCAACAACTTCAAAATAATTTATGATTACCTATTAGTATTTTGATACATGACAATTTTATTATTAATGGTTTTAACAAATATACAGTAAATTTCAAGATTATTTAACTCTTTAAATATCTTGGCATTATGTTTATATATATATATTTTTAATTTTAGCAGTTATATTAGTACTTTATTAGAATTTTTGAAACTATTGTTAGAGGGATTTTGGGTTTACAGAATATAGGATCAAGGAAAATGTAACAGATTGTCATTTGAAAATATCAAATGTCATGAAATATTGCATTATAGAAGAAGCAAAATGATTTGGCAAGGCTAAAACATAAGTGCAAGATCTCAGTTTATTACTAAGATGGTTTTTATTACTAATACAGCTATTACTAATGATGACTATTCTAAATGCTTTCTCTTCTTTTCTAACTCAAAAAAAGATACTCTTATATACAAGAATAGCACTCCACAAAAAAAGACAGCATAGGGGCCCAAGATCAAACATTTTTCTATCAAACTCAATAGTTTCAGATCTGTTATTACAATCAGAACCTTGAATAGCCTCATGTGGCACAAACAACTAGCCCAATTTGGCAGATCTATCTCAACAAATGGCTATAGTATTTGATTTTGCATCATTATAGCATTGTTTCAGTTGGGCAGCTTGGCTTTCAATTTTCTTGAGATGTAATTGATGCACAATCATTTGCTTGTTTTAGAGGCATTCTTACTGTAAAGGAACATAGGTCAGGGCAGCACTGAGTTAGAACAACTTTGGTACCCATTTTGCCCTTAACACTATACAGATTATATAGAATTTTCTTAATATATAAGTCTAGCATTACTTAGCAACCTAAATGGTACCTAAGTATAACCTGCCATACTATCTCAGTTAGAGATAAACTGCTTATCTAACTGCTGCTCTACAATAGAACATTACCAATCTAATAACATCTTTTTATAGAGAAGCAAAAAACAAAAAAAATTTTTAAATAAAAAACAAAACAGAGGTATAAAAATAAACAATAAAAGACACAAATTAAAAAATAAAAAGAGAAAGAGAATAAATAAAAAAAAAAAAAATATGTAAAACTTGCAATTTACAAATATTTGTCAGTTACAATTGCATGCCTATGTCAGGTCTTTGAAAATTATAAACTATATTAAATAAAAATAACTCTACTATTTTTTTATTTACTTAAATTATTTAACAAAAAACTATATAAAAAAGAAAAAATCTTTGACTTAATTATAAAAGGTTAGTATAGAGCTCTAGTTAGTCTGGAGTCAGTATTTTCAGATTTTTAGTATTTTGAGACATTTGTATAGTCATATTTGTATTAATGTATTGTTTCTGATCTACATTATCAATAAACTCATTTAGGAAATAAACACTGCTAACTGTTTTAATAGTTTTATATATTAATCTTTAAGAGAGAGTAAGCTAAATCACTTACTTTTACAAAATTTCCTTAAAGCAAAGTAAAGATGAGAAGTGAACCAACTTTGTAGCTTTTGTGAGTTCTAAACCTTTATAGGTGTTCTTTGTAAGTTTTATAATTGTATAAAACTAATATGTCTAATTTTGTTATTTACTTAATAAAAAACTTTGGCTTTTACTAACTATTTCTTCTATAGTTCCAAAATGTATTTAAACTGTCATCACAAAGCTGCAACTTCTTTTTTAACTCTATTTCAATGTTCAACTATGTATGTACAGTACTTTAAAAAAGTTTTATAAAGTTTAATATATTAACTATATCATTTTTCTGTAGTTTAGCTTTTTGAAAAGTTTGGTTCAAATGATTATTGGAAAGAGTTAATTATGATTATATTAAATTCACTATACAATATTTTATTTACTATTAAAGAGGGCTCTACTTACTTAAATCACTACTCTTATCATATTATAAATATATAACA